TTGAAAATTATAAGAAAATATTGTAATATGTTTGCATACAGAAAATAATCCATAATTTTTATCACCTTTTTGAGGTAATCTGTGCTTTGGCATATATTTTATCTCAATTATTATGTGTCTACATGCAGAGTTCATTAGCAGCTTAAGCTGTCCCTCCGTATTTCTTCCATTCCTTCACATTAGAAATCATAAAATATGGAATGATTTCTCTTCTAAAATCTAGAAGTTCTTACTTTGAATATTTTGATAGGCTTCATGGAACACTATCTGACCCTGTGTTTAACTGTAGTGTACATGTTACGTTAGATGGAAAGAAGAGAGAGACAGAGACAGAGATAGAGACAGAGAGAGATTATCCCATTTGCCATGACAGCCCCCTCCTCACTAATGCCACTAGGTGGGCTTTAGAAAAACAATTTCAACCTCAAGGACAAGGAAAAAAAGCAGATCAAAGTTGAGCTAAATTAGAGAAAGTAAAAGCACAGTGGAGAGGGAGGAGCATGGAAAATACTGACCAGCAATCCATAGGTCAGCCCAGCAAAAAAACAAATATGGTAGAAATCTGAGTATCAAATAATCATGCAAGTCTTTTCATCTATTTGGATATAACAATGATCAACTAGTTATCACACTACTTCTCATAAGAGCACTGCTTTAAAAGTGGGGCAGCCACCCTTCTCAATAAGCGAGAGCATATGGAATGTTGAAACAATCTCATTAGCACTCTCACAAAAATGGCTACATTAATACAAGTATTTAAGTCACAAAATACCCGATACAAAGAAAGGAAACAGGAGGATGTTCCCTATTACTTCCTCTTTTTCAGATGCTTCCCAATTACTACTACATGCTTCAGAGGTTGATCATAGAGTCAAAATCTTCTAAATCCTAACATTTGCATTACAAACTTTTACTGTTATTTGAATTTTTATGTCTGATTCAGAGCTTAGAACCATTTGTTTTCTCATTGTAAATATTTGGTAAAAATTACAAATTTATCTCCAGCTATAATGTTATAATATTCCAGTGTTTTGCTGATTTAAAATAATTGAAGCATCTTGTGATCTTAAGGTATATGCTCAAAAAACAACCTGAAAGGAAATCAACCTATACAAATAACTGTTAAGTTAAATTTGAGATATATCAAAATAAATAATTTAAGGTATTTTCAGAAAGCATTCTGATTTTTTTTCCTCTTTCAGAAGGCCAGCAAATCCAATATATTTTTATTCAAATATCATACTCTCAAGTCACAAGCTTTTGTTTTTCAAGTAAACTTCATGTATTCGTGTATTCACACATGCCATACTGCAATCATTCATTTATGTTATGTTAGAACTGATCTACATCCAAACTGCCATTCAAACATAATTTAATCTCTGCAACATTTACTAACTCATCAGACTAAGAATGTTCATGGTTGTTAATACGTTTTGAAAGATTTAAACAAAGAAAAAAATTCCAGAGAATTGCAGTCGAATCATATATGTGTCAACTAAACAAGGTAAAACTAGCCTATAGATTAGATTTTTGTTGTAGAAAAAAGAATAATTGTACAGTTCTCTACAATATAGCCATTAATTACTTTGTCTGAAATAAATTATGTTAACTACTTGGAAATATTTTCCAAAGAACAGGCAAAAAGGATCTATTCCAGCCAATGGCGGAATTCCAAAATTTTTACTACAGTTTCTGTGGGCGTGGCTTGATGGGCGTGGCAGGTGTGGTAGGAGAAGGATACTGTAAAGTCTCCATTCCCTTTCTACTCCAGAGGAAGGTTACTGCAAAATTTCCATTTCCTCCCAATCAGCTGGGACTCAGGAGGCAGAGAATAAATGGAGGCAGGATCAGTCAGAGGTGGTATTTACCAGTTCTCCAAACTACTCAAAATTTCTGCTACCAGTTCTCCAGAACTTGTCAGAACCTGCTGAATGCCACCTCTGATCCCAGCTCAGTGGAAAGACAGCTGAAGAACAATCCAAAAATCTGGTACAAGGCAAACCTGTGATTACCAATAGGTGCTACTACTAATTTGAGATAGCTGCCTTGGGCAAGTCAATAACTTGAGCTTAATTCTTCATTCTCCTATTGTAGAATATATAACTGGCACCATTACAAATTGACGACTTAGAATTTGTGTTAGAGCTATGTAAAGTATTTGAAAGAGGTGGAAATCTCACACAACTTTTTCACACATTGTTCCAGGCTGTCTGAATGTACATGCACAGAAAGGGCTCCACTTGTGCTAACACGTTTTGCAAGCACATCTTTTGGATGCTTTATACAGTCCTAATTTGCATAGTGCTTTAAAAATTTGTAAGAGTTGTAAACTTCATTTTAGTTAACTACTTTCTAGTTTATTGCTTTAAATTTTATCTTGTCAACTGTTTCATAAGATGCTATAAAAATATTTTAAATTAATTTAACAGAGGATTTAATGTATAATGTAATATAATCCAACCTCCAAGGTAAAGCTATTCTATATGATCCTGCCAAATTGCATTGGGAAGGCTAAAGTTGAGAGGAATGGCTTGCTTAAGGCCACCTTAATTGTTTGATGTCAGAGAAAAGATTCATACCTTGAACAATGAGGAGCTATAGTCACAGTGTACATAATTGTTCATGAAACATATTATCCCTGTATTGGCTTGTTTTAGCATAGCATCCAAAGTCCGGGAGTTCCAGTTTAAGTTGTATAGGTGCTGACAGTGAAGCTCATTTCTATTTCTCTCTCAAGTGCCTTGCTCTTGAAAGTAGAGGCTAATCTAGGGCCACTCCAAGACATTTTGCTGCCTGAAGCAAAATCTAAAATGCCCTCACCCTCACCAAAACTCTTCATGGAGAAGTCATCCAGCTTGGCAGCTGAATTTTAATTCAATGCTGGCTGTTTCTATTTCATTTGCATGTGGCAGAATAGTTCAGATGATACAGGGCAGGCAGTCCAGTGCATGTATAGCTTTGTCTATCTCCAATACCTTCTGGGCTTTTAATTTGGATATGCAAAGCAATCACGTAGTCACTCTGCCTAATGATAGGGCGGCTCTTGTCTAACCCCTGCCTTGGGAAACAGGATGTTCCTATACAAAGAGAAGTGCCCTAATACTTGACCAAGGGCTTATGCCAAATGCCACAATTTGTTTTAGAATTTCAGCTTAGGATATTCAGCTGCTCAGGAGTCAGATTTTTTTTAAAAAAAATATCCGAGACCAGATGCATCACACAGTCTTTCTATTTGCACAGCACTATTTAGAAATACTCTGAATTCATTAAAATGAAGTATTTAGGAAGCTATCATAAACCACATTGTTTTCCCTTAGGATATTACATGTTAGTCATACCCAGCATAATTGTTGATAGAATATTATCTAGGTTTCAAATCTATCCTTGAAGGCTAGAATAATTCACAAGCTTATAATAACATACAATATAGTTTATATATTTCTAGCCAATCCTGACTCAGGGAATATGACCTATTCACTTCAAGGGATCTGAGTTTTTCAAACAGTGCTAGAAAATAAAGCGGTACAAGCCCTAACAAAAACTGTCTTCTAAATTCCTGCTCTAACCAACATGCCTTGTCTCATTTGAACTCTGATGAACTCCGCAATCTTTTCCCCCTTTATTTCTTGGCCATTCTATTTTAATTTGGCTCTTAATCCCTTTTAATGCGACTCTTAAATAACTCATGTTTTAACATTTTGTTTTCGGTTATTAAACCCCACCCTTTAAGAAAACATTTAACGGGTTATTTACATACATAATACTAAAGAAGAAATATTAAAATAAATGCACTGAATTGCAACAACATTACAGCCGATGATATACAAGTAGAACAAAAATGAAACCAAATACAAAATTCTGATTATTCAATGTAACCTAAGGGCTATATTTTAAAACTCTCTTTCACAATATTTCCTAGAATTTATTACTAAATTAAGATTGCTAGTAGAAGACTAGAGATACCCAGATAGAGATACAACAGTGCATTACAAATGTCCAAATGTATTCTTCTCTTTATATAGAAGCAGACAACACTATGATAACCTCATCAGAAACTTTTGTCTATGTTTTTACCAATGCATAGCTGCAATATGTTATAATTTGACCGCAAAGACCAATTTCAGTAAACTTTGTAAGTAGTAGCATTATAGATTTGCAAAATTGCATACCCATTTTAAGGATCCAACAAAGCAAGATACAGACATACAAGCCAGGCATGTTATTACAATAAATCTGCATCAAATGTGCTTTTATAGTCTGATGTCCTTATTAGTGATTAACACATAATTATTTATTATTTGGTACATTGCATTCAAAAAAATAAGTGTAAAACAACGCACAAAGCATTCTCTGATCTCATTGTTCAACATATTTAAAAGGCTACAGAAAATTGATCTCCTATGTCTGCTGTAAGGTCACACCAATTGATAACCTTTACAAGCTCTGATTATATGAGCCTGTCTGTGTCTTACAGATAGCACTTTGTGAATTAATCCTCTGAAGGCAAATATATTGTAAGTAGCTTGTTATCTCCAAAGTACTAAATTGAAGAATACATGGGATTATATTGACAGAAATTACATTTTCTATAATAAGAGTTTAATATATCTGAAGCCCCTCTCTTTGGTCTCTAGTCATTCTGTCTGTGAAAAGCTGGTTAATGCAGGTGCAATAAAGCATCAAAACCAAATTTATTCACCAAAATGGATTACCCTTGTAATCAAAGTCTCAGCATTATTAATCTCTGACACTTTTCGAATAATAAAAAAAGAGAAAAAAATTGTCTAGATCTTTTTCACATCACACTTGGAGCTTGCCTTGGCCATTTCCTGAATATTACTTCAAAGATGATAAGATTTCCATATCGTAAACACTAATCTAAAATTATTGGGACAATTAATTAGATTCACTTAATTTTACACAGCATTAGATTTCAATATAATTTAAATGCTGTTTCAGTGTGAAGCCTGCATTTCATATAAATAACAAATGTAACACACTAAATTGTTTTTTTAACTGCATTTTCCCCCTATTAAGAGCTATACTATTAGAAACAACAAAAACTTAATATATTTTAGGAAGTTTTATTTTCCCTCTTAAACCAAGATTTGGACATTTATATTTCTGCTTGTTCTTTTTGCTAATTAGCTTATTAGTAATTATGTTAACCAGTTTTCTACCTCATGGCTTGAGAGACATTAAAAAGATTTAGACCACTCTATGTTCAACTGCAGCAATTCTGAATAACATTGCATGCAAAGGTACACTAAAATGAGTATGAAATAACTATAATAATGGTCAATTCATTCGTAATTTCCTAGCTGTTGAGAAATTGATTTCCTGAAAGGTGGTCAAAAACAAATCCATTCTACCTAATCACCATGCAGACACTTACAAAAAGAAACCTAACTATTTCCACTGTTGTGTAAAAGCCAATAGCCATAACACAAGGAGAACAAAATCACTGGCTCCATTAGCTGAAAGCATTTTCTAGGCTAATGCTGGATTTGCCTAAACTAAGAAAGAAAGTTACTAAAAGGTGGACCATCATAATGCAAACCATTAGCTGCAAGTTGCCAGAGGCTGTAATTCTGATACTGGGTAAATACTGAAGTATAATTACTTACCAATTGTTCACTTGAAGTATTGTCAACCCCGTGTCTTGTGCCAACTGCTTTTTCTGTTCTTCTGAAGGATAAGGGTGCTGTAGGACAAGTAAATATATATAAGTATCTCTACCTATGTATCTATAGTGTGGGTGTTTAGTAAACAGTTTTATTAGCCATTTTCTTGAATCATAAAAACGTAGTATCTATAATTAAAGATGAAAATGCTGAGGTGTGTCACTCTCATAATTATTAATGGACTACTACATCATATAATTAATGGCAGTAAAAGACAAGTCAATTATAATGATTAGCGAAGTGTAGAAAGAACCGCCTGAGATACAAGTACTTTGATACTAAATGAAGACAGTTGTTGTGCTAGAACTAAATTTTTAACTCTTCTTTAAACGAGTCATGCCTACTGTCATTTTCCGCATCTTGAATAAATAACTTCTTTCATATTCATGTTTTATGCTGATGTTTAGCATATTTCTTTCTTGAATCCATTTTTTGTTCTAATGATTCAATCCAGCTGTCTAACTTTTGCTTCAAATCAGTGATTGTATATACTGCTCAGAATTCAATTCTGTTAAGATTAAGGAATACAAATAACACATCAGAAATTCCACTAATTTCAGCACTGTTTAGGAAGATCCTTTCTTGCTTTTCCATAGCTTCATGTTGCATGTTTGTATGCATTCATTATATGCTGATATATTAATATAATTTACAGTGAAATTGTAAACATTTGAAGACAGATCTCAGAGGCAATACTGTTTTCAGCTAAATATTAGCCTAATTTGAAGTTCCCCTTTCAATGAAAAAATACCACCCATTGTTGGCATTGCTACGATCATAATTCAAAAAGTTAAAGGTTTTTAGTTCTTAAAAAAATATGAATGCTTTCTTTACATTTTCTCCTTAAAAATTATAAAAATCATAACCACATCAATATTTTAAAATTTGCCTTAATACATAAATATTGTGGCAAATACATTGATAAGTTGTCCAGGTTGTAATAATCACTGCACAATCATTTTTGTCAATATTCTAAGGTTATGTAGATTTATATAGCGATAAAAGGGTTATTTTAATACTCTTAAGACGGATTTCATCATTTTTAAAAACATACACATAACAACAAAAAAAGAAACATTAGCTGACAGATCAATGATCCACAATGATTTTGGTTTTTATTTCCAAGAGTATTCCAAATTCTGAAAACTTATATTGTTAGTTGAAAGCCGACTCTTGGGTCAGTAACAATGGCCAGAAAGCTGTTGTTGAGCTCAACATTTCAGCTTTCCAGCACTGAAACAAAAAAGTCTGTAACAGGTAATAAAGGAAAACTTAAGCACTATTGTAGCTTGACATTTTAAGGTGAACTGCTGTGCAGCTACAAAACATTTACATAAAGAGAAGCTTATATGGTTTATTTTAGAGAAATAGTAAAAGAAAATAAACATTGGAGATGTCTTACTATGCCTTACATACAGTTCTATGATAAATGAGTCTCCGATATAAGTGTTGCCAGTTTCTTACATTCACAGCACTGATCATTTGTCTTTGGCTTTGTTAGTATAAACCTTTGGCAGGTCCTAATGTAAAGTTTCACATTTTTAAAACAATACCCATCAATACAATCGGCTCTTCCTCCCCAAAGGTAACATGGGATGGGAGGGATTCATTATGCAAGAAAAAAATGAAGTAAATTGTCCCTCTAGGTTGGTTGTGACTTCCAACATTTTATCTGGAAATGTTGATCATGTGATATCCGAAATATCTAGCACTTAGCACTTGCAAGTTATTTGTCAAGCCCGATTGTCAACACTCACTTTTTCTAGTAGTACTTATCAGTTCAGTTCTAAACTAGGAATGGGCAAATTGCCATGATCTGGAACTCACTAGTTTTGGGGAACCAAGATTCATTGTACGGAAACTATGTTATGCACATAGATACAGGATTCCATGTGTTTTGAGAGGAGGCATATTCCGTTTTGTTTTTGAACTGTACTTATCTATTTCAAGGCTTACACATCTTACTTTGTAAGCACTGCTTACATCAAGATGATGGAAATCTATGCAACCTGTACTCAGAAATCATGAATGTAGCGATCTTGGGTCACTTCATTCCCTAGGAACCTATGTTGCTCACTCATGCTTTACAAAGTTTGTTAGGTTGAATTAATGGCCCTAGCTTTTGTTATTATCAATCTGTACTATCACTGAAGAATGGTTGCATGTCTAGTCTAGAAAAAAGAAGGACTAGGGGTGACTAGACTGTTCCAATGTTTGAGGAACTGTCACAAAGAAGAAGGGATCAACCTATTTTCCAAAGCAGAAGGCAAGATAATATGTTTGGAAACTAACCAAAGAGAGACGCAACTGCGAACTAAGGAGTAATTTCCTGACAATGAGAACAATAAACCAATGGAAAGGCTTGCCTTCAGAAGTTGTGGCAGCTCCATCACTGGAGGCTTTTAAAAAGTGATTGGACAGTCAATTATCTGAAATGGTATAGCTTGGGCCATGAGCTGGACTAGAACAGGGGTTGCCAACCTTTTGCCAACCTCAGGGACCACTAAATTCATAATTTTAGCAGTAGACTTATATACCGCTTCATAGGGCTTTCAGGCCTCTCTAAGCGGTTTACAGAGAGTCAGCATATTGCCCCCAACAATCTGGGTCCTCATTTTACCCACCTCAGAAGGATGGAAGGCTGAGTCAACCCTGAGCCGGTGAGATTTGAACCGGTGACCTGCTGATCTAGCAGTAGCCTGCAGTGCTGCATTTAACCACTGCGCCACCTTGGCTCTTTTAAATCCCGTGGACCAGTAATATAATTTTTTAAAAAATATAAATAGTACTTAGTGCAATATAAAAATGCAAATACTTTTTCTGTGGACTACCAAAATTTTCTCATGGACCACCAGTGGTCCACAAACCACTGGTTGGTGACCGCTGGACTAGAAGACCTTCAATGTCTCTTCCAACTCCCTTATTCCATTCTGTTTTGTTCACTGGGCTCATTTGATCATTTTCGGTAGTAATGCAATTATTCTTAAAATTGAGATTATATTCTCAAATTGTTTTGGAGAGCTTGCAGTCAGATTAATGGGGCTTTATTTATTTAGACATAACTGCTGCTTAATCTAATATTCAAAAGTATTTTCTTTCTCATATTGCTTTACCACCTTGCAACAGATCCAGTTTTGCATATCTCAGCAAGCTATGCCTAATTCCATGCAGGAAGCAAGAATTTCCAAGGCAGCCTCAAGCTACTGAGACTGAGAAATCTGTCTCCATGAAGCAATTTTCAATTGTTCTGGATCTTTTTGAAATAGACGCAAGAACAGATTAAAATTAGCCATCCGAGTAATATGATGATTGTAAATAAAACACATGCACACACAGCCACATGCCTGAGTATACTAAAATATTAGAACAAAATTATTTCAAATTGTGCTATGTTTTCAGTCATCTGATCCTTCTTTCATATTCCTCTTCCCTCCCCTCCCCCACTGTCTGGTTATTGGCTTAACATCAATGTTCAGTTTCATGAAAAAACTGTAATTGCAATAATCACATGAAAGCCATTATTTCATGGAGATAATCTCTCCCAGGGGAAAAAAAATCGTAATGAGGCTGGTTCTTTAAAAAAAAATCCAAAATGTTTCATATGCTTGAAACATTAATTTTTATAATACAATTATTGTAAGGAAGTAAGAATTCTTCCTTCTACATTGCAAGAAGGGCACTAAATAGACCAAGAATGAACATGCCACAGGCTAGGCCATGTTAAAAACATTCAAAGCATTGTTGGTTTCTCATCCTTGAGGCGAGAAAGGCACATGCTACAGGATACAGGAGCAGCAGCATAAGAATGGGTGATATTCCAGATAACTACTATTTTAACATTAAAACAGAGGAAATTCATTATGCAGAGTGGGATTTAATCTATCAGTCATTCCTACTTTGCACCATCATCTGGTTGTTGTTGTTATTGTTTCAAAATGAGGGAATCCTATTTAAAATCAGTCAATTATTAACATCCCACTGGTTTAGCTAAGAAGCATACTTATCACCGAGATCACTTTGAGATATCAAAGGAGATTTGGCCACTGTTCAATAAACACTGACTTGAGATCTTTACTTTTGATGTGTACATTAGCCTCATACCATTATCTCTTAAAAGCTTAATTATTTGCACACAATTGATCAAGATGGAACTTGAGAAAGGATTCACTCAAGTCTCTGGGAGAGCTGCAACACATTAGAAGAGAAAACAAAATCACATTTAGATTTTAAAATAAGAATTAGTGATTAGGACCATATATAAAGCAGAGCAGTAGCCAGAGCTATTCTTTCTGGAATGTTTTTTTACATTTGATTTGCATTAACACAAAAGCTATAAAACACTGATTATGTATGGTCAGATTTATGCTCCCTTCCCAGAATCAATCCAACACGTATCTCCCTTAAAATAAGGCATATTGAAGGAACTATGTATGTATGTATGTATGTATGTATGTATGTATGTATGTATGTATGTTTGTATATCTGTGTGTGTGTTTGTGTGTGTATATATAGTAAAAGTAAAGGTTCCCTCGCACATATGTGCTAGTTGTTCATTGCTCATCTGTTTCAAAGCCGAAGAGCCAGCGCTGTCCGAAGATGTTTCTGTGGTCATGTGGCCAGCATGACTAAATGCTGAAGGCACAGGGAACGCTGTTACCTTCCCACTAAAGGTGGTTCCTATTTGTCTACTTGCATTTTAAAGTGCTTTCAAACTGCTAGGTTGGCAGAAGCTGGGGCAGAAGTAACATGAGCTCACTCCGTTATGTGGCACTAGGGATTGGAACCGCTTAACTGCTGACTTTCTGATCGACAAGCTCAGCATCTTAGCCACTAAGCCACCATGTCTGTTTGTCTGTCTGTCTGTCTGTCTGTCTGTCTGTCTGTCTGTCTGTATGTATGTATGTATGTATGTCCTATCTACCTACCTACCTACCTACCTACCTACTACCTACCTACCTATCTACCTACCTATATCTATCTATCTATACAAACGTGTGTGTATATGTTTCAAACTGAGCAA